TGCATGTTCAGGACCCCTTGCACGAACAAAAACCCTTTTGGAAACCACGCCTCTGTCAAGTCATACAGGCCCTCGGCGAACCAGATCAAAGCCACTAGAAGCGCCAGGTCCTTACGAGCGACGCTGCTCATGGATTGGGAACATAAAGGCGCAAAGCTGCAACTAAGTGTGGAACCCTTGGTGCCCCAATTGTCTTCAGGGACCACATGACGTGATCAAGCCCTTTCATCATGCGTGAGCAAGCCGAGACCTTCAAGCATAAATGGCTGGCGCGGCAGCGCTGGTGCACAGTGTTCGACGGAGAACTAATGAAAACTTGTTCTTCCAAATCTCTTCATCAAGATTCTGATTGGGGTGCCGGCTGTGCACAATAAAGCAAAGCACGATCCAAGATTTCAAGGGCTCAATTGATAAGCATGTCAGGCTCACGCTTGTTCTTCGCCACGCCGAGGCGGACTTGCCAAAGATTTCCTCGGCGTGAAGGCATGCAGACCTCGGGCCGCAGGCGGGGTGGCGACAGTGACGCTTGATCAGGGTTGACTAGATTCTGCTGATATGATTGCCAATCACAACTTACGTTCTTTTTCGGCGCCAGCATGTTTGTGTCACGGACGCATGCCTTCCCAGGCAGACATGTTTCAATGTACTGAACGTCAGAAAGATCACTTAATTCAAACCGTGTTGCAGCTTCTAAGCCTCACAGTTTGATCACCATTCAGCGAATCAAGCGTCTCACGGGGCTGGGACAAAGCCATCAAGAAACGGGGGAAATGGGAGACGTTCATGCTAAAACCATTGGTTGAGGTTCCCCGCAAAACGCCATGATTCAAAAACCCCATGTAGGCCGACGATGGAATTTCTAATCCACGTCAGGCACGGTCTCCGGCAAGCACTTGGCTGTCAAGCTCCCACACTTTTTCAGAAACTGGACGTAGCCCTTGGGCGGCTTCTGCTTTGTCATCTTCTCCTCCATCATGATGTGGGACTGGGCAGGAGGCGAGAAACCCCTTTTGATTTGGAAACCAAAATGTGGAAAAGGGAACAAATAAAATGAAACCGTTGGTTCTTTTATAAGAGTGCCATAGCGCTTGCCGCGGCACAAGTGTACACGCGCACTTGACGGCCAAAGCCAGCGCGTGGTACTTGTGAAGGCCGACCGACTGGAAGGAAAAGTGCGCAATGTCCTTTTGCAAGGCCCTCGACTTCAGCCCACAGCCCCGACGGGTCCAGTAGATGTTGCACGCGAACGGCACAGCGACAGAGCAGGTCTTCTTGATGTGCAGCTTGAACTTCTTCATTTTGAGCTTCAGGTTGATGTCCTGGGCGTAGGCCAGCAGCTCAGACTTCACGTACTCCTCGTCCGCGTTCGTCCACGAAGCCGCCGCCTCAACGGTCTCCACCTTGCGCTTGGGCGCTGCACGCCGCTTCACGGACTTAGGCTCCGCAGCGCTCTCCTTAAGCTGGCCACGCCTCACGCCCTTGTTGTCGCCAGGGCCGGACGCTGCCTTCAGAAGCTTGCGCCCCTTCCTGCGCTTGAGGCCAACGCCATCCGCACTCGCGACCTTGCCCTTCTTCGCGTCTTTGCTGGTCTTGCCCTTTGCGCCCTTGCCCTTCGCTCGCTTGTCCCGCGCTCGCTTGCCCGTCGCCTCCAAGCCCGTCGCCTCCAAGCCCGTGCCATAGTCCACGTTCTCGTCGTAGTTGTTCTCGCCCTCGTCAAGTTCATCGACCAAACTCTTCTTGTTCTTTACCCGCTTGTTGTTCAGCTTTTTGCCGTTGGCCTTGTTCTTCTGAGCGCTCGCTGAACGGGTTCTCTTGCCAGAGCGCTTGCCCGACGCTCGCATCTGCAGCTGGTCAGTCTTCAGGAGCACCTGTTCGGGTAAGCGGTGCAGGTGTGGTAGGGAGTAGAATGCAAAATAGGCAAACTGAAACGGTTTAACTTGCAAGGAGGGTTGGGTTCATTTCACGGGGGCTGCCTTGTCTGCAACCGCTTGGTTGTTCTCAGCAGCCGCGTTTTCGTGGCCAGGCTCAGTGCCCACAGCTGCAACAGCCGGTGGCGGGGAGGCTTGGTCAGCTCGGTCGCAAGGCTCAGTTTTCTTGACACTTTCCAACGGCACCCCTTTGAATCGGGAACCTTGGTAGATTTCCCTCTTCTCACTTGCGGTTGGGGAAGCATTGCAGGAAACAATGACCTTCGGCGTTGGAGAAGGGGCCTGTGCCTGCATGATGTTCACGCGCTGCGTTTCCATCGTGTCCATACTCGTGGAAGACCCCGCTCCTATAAAGCAATTTCATTCATGATTGAGCACGTCCAATCAGAACATAGTTAATTAAGGGGCAAAATCTGCTGTTGCAAGACCGTTGGTCCTGCAGGGGGTTGGTCTGCACTCTGCGCAGCAGCTTTCTTCTCACGAAGCCTGGGTTGGCCAAAGTTTGTGGAAACCCATCAGCCTAACGTTGACACAATAATGAATCATGAACATCATGACCCCTGAGGATCTCGCTGTTTCAACTTGTGACGGGCAAGGTCCAGCTCCGATTGCAATTTGGCCGCTTCAGGGGAAGCTGAAGTGCCTAGGGTCGATCTGAAGTCTGAAATGCAAAAGCGGGTGACGAAGAAAAAAACATAGCTCTCAATTGGCTATCATGTCTTGCCACCAAAGTTGCAAGGGGAAACAGGCGAAGGGCCAGGGGCTTCTGTTGTAGGAGAAGGAGAACAAGAAGTTGCTACCAAAGGCAACCGTTGGGAGTTCTGAGGGGTGGCCACAGCCAGGTGCAAAGCAGGCTTCTCTTCAAGCTCTTCTTTGTTTGCCAGGACTGCGGGGGGTGTGATGGCCTTCTGAGCCTCGGTGGGCACGGCCTCCTCATCAGTCTCTTCGTAAGCATCCTCATCCGCTGCCTGCACAGACAGCCACTACATAGCAAGTCTGGTTCTGCCCATCGAAGCTTCCCGGTGTAAATTCAACGCTGCAACTATGATCTTAGCATACGCCGTACGCTTTATTTTATTCCAATTTTGTCATGCTGCGAACGCGCCGCGCCTCCACCTCAGCACCGCTTTCTTCATCATTCAGTTGGTCAGCAATCTCCTGCGTGAAGCAATTGCCACTTAATTGCAAACACTTTTGGAACATGCTGTCAGTTTCATCCAGTTGGTCAGCAATCTCCTGCGTGAAGCAATTGCCACTTAATTGCAAACACTTTTGGAACATGCTGTCAGTTTCATCTTTGCTGCGTGCTGCTACTCAGGTCAGCCTCACAAACAAGGCATGAGCAAAACACATGAGCCCAGTCCGTGAGAGACAAGTCCAGGATGATGCAAAGGTTCTGAAACTTCTTGTCCTGGCGCAGTGCATGCGTTGGGGTGGCAGGGCAGCTTTCTATAACTGGCCCCTTTTTATGGGTAAACATAACCCCTCACTCCTTCGAAATCTCTTTGCGGTGGGCTTTGCGCTTGATGAAGCCCAAGTGCTTACGAATTTGCCAGCTCATGGTGCAGGTGTCAATGTCGGTGAGGCTGCTAGTCTTACAATTCTTCTCGTACAACTCCTTGATTGCATCCCGTAAGCCCTCAACTTCTGGAAGTTTGTGGCAACGATCGGCCATCTTTTCCAAAAGCGGAGTGAGCACCCCTCGGTTCAACACAGCTGTGCGGATGTTGCACTGCGAAGCCGTGAGCTCATGAACCAGGAACTTGCCGTCGCGAAGCCGTCCCCGGACCCATTCATTTTCATCCCAAGTGTTCGACAGGTCGCTAAGGTCAAGAGGTGGTTGCCGTTCTTCTTTTGGGCGAACCATCTTAGCCAAAACTTGCCAAATGGAGCCAAAAACAGCTGCGCTGAATAGCCAAGCTCCACCAAGATCCAATGCAGTTCAAAGCTGTCGCGCGAGCAGGACTGGGCTGCCACGCAGGTCATTGCCATGGAGCAAAAAGAGCGCACGGCTGACTGTCCATGGTCGTTGAGACATGTGCCTATATGAGGGTTTTCTGGTTCTATCTGCCTTTTGTGGCTTTTGTTTTACCATGCTGCTCCGGTCGTCATCCTATCAGGTCCTCTGAGCAAGTAGGCCTTTGCAGCAGCAAAATAAAGGGTTTGACAGGAAAACCCAGGTTTTGCAAATAAAAGGCAGGTTCTTCCTGGCATCTTGTGAAGAACCCGGTAATCATTTGGAAACCTTTAAAAATGTGGGTTCTTCGAGCATAGGGAATGGTTTCTAATAGTTTCAACGTGGCGCGAAACGCATTTCGCAACCATCCACAGTGTTCCGATGGTCAAAACTGTGGACCATCTCCCGGATCCTGGCCGATCGGCGCCCCAGCAAAAACCCAAGTTGAGGGCACATGTGGGTGTCCGATTGCTCGGGGATTTTTACAAAAAAAAGGCCATGGGTCAAAACCCAAATCGTACGCCCAGTGAACATCCGATTCAATCCCCACTGAAATGGATATGAACATGGGTGGTGCGCCCACCCCAAAATGGGTACCGTTGGTTTCGACCCACACCCATGTAGGTTTTCTTCTACTTGGTCTGTTCTAAAATTGGTACAATAACACCAACACGAATACCGAATCTATGCTTGGGGGTCCATGTATTTTACCTTGATTTCTTCAAAGCAAACTCTTTTTCTTTTTACTTTTTCGGGGAGCCCCACCCTGGCGGGTCGTCACGCGGGTCGCAAGTGGACCCCGAAAGAACCCTTCAAGTTTTTCACATGGTTTCACCTTTTCGGACCGGACCTGGACTGAAAAACATCCACCATGTTGGGTCCAACCTAAAAAACGGCCGCCGCATGGATCTTTTACCCTTGGGTCCAGGTCCGCAGCAAAAATCCGGAGAAAAGAAAAAACAAAGAAGAAAAAAAACACCCTTCCTGGTTAATGGTCTGCAGCCCCCCCCCAAAAAAAAAAGGCTCCTGGTCCGAAGCCGAAAAATCCTAAACCAAAAAACGAGCCACCCACGACTTCAGACCAAACCCCCCGAAGCTGCGAACTGCGAAGGCGCCAGCAGCCGCAAGATGCGGCCGAAGGTGTGGACTTGCGACTGGGGCCCGTCCTGGGGGAAGTCGATGAGCGCCTGGTTTGCCGCTTGCGGGGGCCCCGTCCATGGGATGAAGGGGGCCCACCCAAAAAAACAGGGTCCAATACTAGGGGGGTCCCCAAAACTTCGGAAGGGGGGAATGTGAAAAGGTCCATGTTTAGGTTTCTATTTTTTGCAAGTGTTTTTTAAACAAGGAGAAAGTGGCCTCTTTTTTAGATGGTTGGAAGGGAAACCAAAGGAAAACCACCTACCTGGAGGGTTCCCAATTTTCAGAAGCACCCAAGGATTTTAGAAAGTGGGGGTTCACTAAACAAATGGATTCCAAAAAAAGGATACCAGCAACAGGGAGTTCCAACATGAAATTTCTATATTTATGTATATGGGGGTTGTCCTATATTCCTTTGCCCGCGATTGGGCCCTTGGGCCGCACTTGCGCGGCACTTGCGCGGACTGGCGCGCGCACAGTGGCGCAGAAACTCGTTTTCGTTGACCTCGGTTTGCGAAGTTTTCGTGTGGATTGCGCGCAAGCTTTTCTAAGCACTGTGTTTGTCGTTCACACAGCAACCCACAAAGACTTTTCCCGCTGAGGTCGCTCCCGACAATTCAATGCCAGCAACATACCCTTGACTCAACAGAAAGAACAGCAGGCTCTGCCACACAGCTTGGACACAGCCTGAAAGAAGGAAAGTGCATGTTGCGGGTGCCTATCCATTGATTGAACAGCGCCGCTAAGGACATCCGAGACAGCATGAATGGCCAGATGTCTTGCTGGGGCTTCTCGTGCTTGCGCGCAACTTGCGCGCGGCTTGCGCGCGGCTTGCGCGGATTTTGTCGTGTCAGTTGCTGATCGTTGAAGTCAAGACCGCAGAAGCGTTGGCTTCGTTTGGCGCCTGACTGATTCGAAAAGCACAAGTACAGCAAGCAAATATCACCTCCTTTCATGAAGCTAGGCAACATCAGTACATGAAACCCTTCAAAACTGTAACCTTGCGCGTCCCTTGGGCCGCACTTGCGCGCTCCTTGCGCGCGCACAGCTTTTGCCAACTTTTACTTCTCCCCGTTCGGCGATAATTAAAACCGAAGACTGGGGTTTTAGGACGGCCCTCATATGACAACCTCGCTTCAGATCGAGTGGGCTGGCCAAAAAAAGTCACCACACTTCTTGTTTGCCACCCAAATGGCCACCCGAAACGTGATCTAAGTCACGTTCATGAACTCGAGCGAAGTTTGACAATCCAATCACCCCCCCGGTAAAAAGAAAAATAAGCTCAGGTGATATCCCCAACAGCATGCGCACACACACACACACGCAACAAGGGCAGTGAACCCAGGGAGTGAGGTTTGAACCCCGCTGAGGCGTTGTTTTTGCCTAGCCCGTTTGACCCTCGCCCCCAACAAAAAAAAAAAACAACACACAATAAACAAACAAAAACAACATAACACCGTGTGTTGCTTCTTGTCTTTTAATTGTTTGTTAAACAACAAACAACTGGAAACAAAAAAACACGGGGGAAGCAACAAAGCACGCGATATGGTTCAACAAATAATATATATATATATATATATATTTGCATAAAGATAAAAAGAAACCATCATACTGAAAAACCGCAAAAAAAAGAAAGAAACAAACAAAGAAAACAAAACGCAAAAAGACACTGGGGTGCCTGGATCAGCTCTTCCACGGGGTTCACCTTGGCGCGCTTCTTCGCCGCCTCCGAGACGTGGAGCTTCTGCGCCGAGACCTGGGCTCGAGGAACCGAGGAACGAGATAGGCGCACCTGGCTGGGGGCCCCTGGGTGGTTTTTGTGGGGCAAGAAACGACAATGGCGTTCGTTTTGGAGGACTTCAAGTGGCGAACCCAACAAAACAAAACGAGCAACACCTGGTTTTCTCGGTTGCGAAATCTGCGAAGCCCTGCTAAAAGTGAATAACTGTTAACTGTTAGTGGTTTAATACGGAAAACCCATGTGGCAAAAAATTAAAGTCCTAACATCCAAACAAAATGCACCAAAGTTTTTGCGGGGCAAAACAACTTGGGTGTTCGTATTGATGGGTGGCCCAGGCGATTCCCTGAAGTTTTTGTGGGCTGTGTTGGGTGTTTTTTGTTTTTAAAAGGGGAGGGGGTCGTATTGATGGCATCTGAGCTTGTAGCGGATAAGATGGCACATCCAGCCGACTTTTGAAGGTTTTGGTGTGGGAAAAAATGGAGCCCTGGCGCCTGGGTGTGGGTGGTGGGTAGGTGTGGGTGTGGGTAAAAAATGGAAGCCTGGTAACTGGAAACATGGACTAATACCTGCGGTGCCAAGGTGGTTTAATTTTGACCCATACCCATGGTCGGACATCATGGGAAAAAAACGAAAACGTCGTTTGCGATATCAGGAGGGAAATGTTGCTTTCACACGTCTTGGTGTGAACCTTGCAAAAAGCAAAAAAAAAAAAAAGAAGCTGGTTTTTTCAGGGCATGTGGACCCATCTGGGAGTCCAACCTCATCTTGAAGTCCAAACCCCCAACGATAGGCTGGGCGGGCCTCCCCATCTTGCAAAGTCAACCCTTACCATTTACTGACAAAGGACACTTTTCTTGGGGGTAAAATCACGTAAGCGGTGGAATTCACGAGCTGCCCTCTAGGGCAAACGCAGGACGAGCCGAGGGTTGCACCATCCGCGAAGTTCACTTGACACGAGCCAAGTGGCCACCAATGCCTCAACGGGCTCCATGTGCTCCAGGGCGCACACCTTTGAGCTCAAGCATCGGCGAGGAAAAAAAGAAAGGACTGAAAAAAAAGGCCAAACCACTTCCGGCCCAAAAGCCCAGACTCTTTGCACGGGCCCGACAACAAAAACAACAGGGAAGGAGAGAGCCTAGCTGGCAGACTCAGCCAACTGGCTTTGCCGGAGATCTTTCAAGACATTTCACAGGGAGGCCAACCGCCGGGTGAAACTAAGCGTGAGAAGCCCTGATGTTCAAACGGCGTTTGACAGACCTTGCAAACCCCAGTGCTTCCGAACAAGCCTCTGTAGGTATCCAGGGATGTTTACCTCTAGGTTTTACATCATGGTTTCCCGTGCGTACCTGTAGTGGTAGCTGCAAGCACTGGGTATTGTCCAAATCAAATAGCCGACTTGAATTGAAACATGCAAAGCCATACGTCCCATGGTTCTGAGCTATACAGTGCAAATCTCCCTTTGTGGATACGTCCGCTGGACTCCCAAACCTGCATATCTCCAGCGACTGAGAATTTTGTTTAAGCCGGAACAAGAAACTCCAAATGAACTGGGGGCCTTACAGGGGGTCCCTTACAGGGGTTTCCGAGTAAAGGGGGCCTGTACGGGGGTCCTTGACAGGGGGGTGGCCTTGGGAGTTGTTTTTCGGGGCGGTGTCCTTTGAAGAGGTCCTCTTTGTAGGGTGGGGTCCTTTATATGTCCTTGCTTCATAGGGGTCCCAAAGGGTCAATTCCCAAATTCACTGTGATCCCGAGATCGAACCCAGGAAAATGTGCCCAGAGAAGGAAATCACATGAAGAGCGAGACAACACCTTGTCCTGAGGGTACCACCTTGCGGTTGTCAAATGGAAAGCAACATTAGCTTTCCAAAACAGAAGTGTCGCCGCCGCAAATGTGTGAAGTTCACACCTTCTTCAGTCGGGGGCCCTTTCGTACATAGGTGGCCTTTTGGAAAAATAGATGGGTTTCCCTGGTAAATGGAATAAACCCCATCTAATCCAGGAATCGCCCTCTATGCTTTAAGCACACCAACCAAAAAGGACACTTGTGATCGGATCGCTCCATCCGGAAGCTCGATCCGAGGGGCCTTAGGCTTGGAAGCATGTCCTTTGTGCTTGGCTCTGAAAAATCGAGGGCGATTCCTGGTTCAATCATCCACCAGGGCCATCTATTTACGAATAACTAGACACCTATGCTTGGAAGTTGATGATTTGCCGCCATTTGCTAAACCTCCCCCCCTCTCACTCCCCACATGGCTCCAAAGCACCACCGCCCGGCGCACGTAGGAGGCCACCACCCAGGCAGGTGGCCGGTGCAGCGCGCGCGCCTGCCGCTCCGGGATCTGGTCGCCTCAGCCGGAGAGCCGAATCGGCGGCGCAGGGACCGAGCAAGCGACCCACCGAATCGAAGCTGCTGGGGGTCTGAATTCGAATATGGTTCAAAAAGTGGCTTTCCCTTGAAACCAATTGTTAACAAAATTGGGGTAGCAAAATGGGTAAACCAAGCCCCAAGTGTTAACAAAATTGGGGTAGCAAAATGGTTGAAACAGGAATCTGGCTCCAAAAGCGGCTTTTTTCTTGAAACCAACGCCCAAAGGCTTGAGGTAACAAAATGGATGGATCCAAAAAAACAAAACGGTGCGTTTCCTAACCAACCACTGCAAAATGGGGGGGGGGGGGTAACAAAATGGGTGGTGACCAAAAACCCTTGAAACCAAGCCAACAATGTTGGTACCCTCCAAAAACAAAGACAAACACACCGGCAAATGGGGGGGGCAGCAACAAGATGGGTCTCAAATGGATGCTACATGATTTGGGCGCAAGCTTCCATGGAATCCGTTTCGCGGATCCGAGTTGGTGGTCGGAATCGCACCAGGCCAAGGTGTTCGAAACGCTTGCCTTAGGGGTTGCCTTGGGCTCGTGGGGCCCCTGAGACCTTAAGGCAAAAGGGTCAAGCTACAACTTGGTTGCTTTCTGCTCCCCTGCGAAAAGTGAATAACTTTTAGTGGCTTAATACGGAAAAACCAATTTGTTGGCAAAAAGTTAAAGTCCTAACATCCAAACCTAAATGCACCAAAGATAAGTTGCTGGCAGTGGCAAATCCGTTCCCTTGGGACTAAGCTGCCAAAGCCAACCGCCATTAGATTTCGACTCGGGGAAATCTACACGCGACGCTTGAGCAGCAACTTTCCGTTGGGGCGCAATAGGATTGGTCCACACGGCATCCTTGTCCACCACAGCCAGCCACTTTGCTCAAATGGCCAAGTGAAGGTTCAAAGGGTCTCTATCACGTTTCGTGCAAGCCCTTGACCGAATTCGGAAACCGGGGCCAGTCACAACAGGAAACCCAAGTCAACAACAGACATCTTCATCATTGAAATTGCTAAAACCCAAAGGCGCAGGTGACACGTCGACGGCACCCGGTCATTGCCTCCTCTGGTTGGACCTTCTGATCTCCCAGCCTTTTGCTGAATCCCAATATAGACCCTAGACCTAAAACACTGCAGCTTTGCTTGAGCTCTTAAGCTTGTCTTAAGACAGTTCTCAAACCAGTTCCCAAGATCACATTCGAAAACTTTGGACCAAAAACGCTGACCTCAGATAAAAGCATGCACTTCCAGAACTGAGTGCAGCTTGGATTTGGACCAAACCCCCCCCCCAAGCTCTCGCTGCTTTCCTCCCTCTCCGTTCGCCCCGCGCGCGCGCGCGCGGACGGCGCGCCTTGCTGCACCAGGGCGATCTGCCGCTGCAAGGACTCCAGAAGTAAAGCCAGCCCACCCCCCGAGTCCAAGTTCCTGAGCCGGATCTTGGATGCGGAAATACCCCAAAGCTCCAAAAACGAAAATGCAAAAGCGTCCAAGGCTCAAGAAAAACACAATGTGATTTTCTTTTCACGAAACCTGCTTCGAGCTCCAAAAACGAGACGTGGCTATTTCACGACCTGATGCTTCGAGCTCATGAGTGACAAATTGGCGCCTGCCAAGACAAAACTAAAAGTCATCCCTTGAAGAGAGCGAAACCGCGAGGTTTGGTGTGCCTTGTCAAACCGTTGCCCTGGGCCATGAACTCAGGGCTCAGGGCGAAAAATCTACAGAAAAAAGGGCAAGCAGGGTTGCCTATACTTCCCTTGGGACATCGCCAAGGGAACTCACCTGAAATGAGGAAAAAATGATGTTTATGTAAACCAAAGGGACGTATATGCCTGTGGCTCAAGAAAATGATACCAAAAATTGCACCTTGGCACATGGAGCCACACCCGGCCATATCTTGCTGGTTCTCAGCAGGAGTGAAGAAATGACCCGATCAACTCCATCCTCTATGGTGTCCTGTAAGGGAATCCCTGGGTCATTCCCTACCTATCGCACCAACCTGATTTAGGGGGGGCTGTCCCGTCGGACGCCGTTTCTTCGATGCCAGGCGGCCCGGAGTTGGCCAGGGCCGCCAGCGCCGCGATGGCAGCGGACTGGTCGAAGGTCTGCTTGTGCACCAGGGGCATGAGGTCCTAGAGAGTTAAGGGCATCAGCCTGCCGCAGACTTCTCTGAGTAGTTTTGAGCTAGTTTTGAGCTCCGAATTTTCATGTTTCCCAGTGCTTGGCATCCCACTATTAGGTCACCAGGGATTGGTGACCAGGTGCCTGGATACCTGCCACGGTTTCCCCTGGTTACCCATAGTGGAAGTTGGAAAATTATGAGTTGTGCAGCAGTCAGCATTCTCAGGTACCCCAACAACCATGGAAGCTGACAGCAAGACTACTCTCCTTTTGGGGCCCGGGTCCACCCCGGAACATATCCCGAACACCTCCAAACCACCAATCCAATCCACCAATTAGACCAAGCCGACATTTACTGAGTTTCCTCCCCGCATGTCGTTTAACGAATGCCCGTTCACTCGCCCGTTTCGCCTCCAACCCTACTTCACCGCCCACCCCTCACCCGCCCAACCCAGCTTCCTCAGCCTCATTGGTATCCACTGCACTTTCCCCAAAAAGGTGGTTCACCGCTTAAGTTTGGCGCAAAAGGTCTAGCAAACCTTGAACAAGTTGACCAGGGCTTCGTGTCCTCTAGGCTAGCAGGACACCCCTATTTGCTGCTGCTGCCTTGCTAGAACGCAACAGCGGATTGCTTGCACAATGGGGCTGCGCAATTTCTCCGTTGCCCCTTACAAACCCAGAAGCAAAAGGTGATCACATTTTGGACCAAAAAGGAAAACAACGGCAAGGTCATTTCGCTTTGAAGTGAGCAACACAGCAGATTTTGTTGTGATTTTTGTGCACCCCAACCCCATTCCCACCACTGGGCCAGACTTAGTGGCTTGGACTTCTGTCAATGTTGACTCCAGATCCAAGTAGAACCCGTCCTATTGATTTTTCTTTGGGGGTACGGGCCCCTCAAGTAATGAAACGCCCCACTTTTGGGTGCAAATCAACTAGGACTTCTTCAGATGCGGGCTTCCCATTATTCAAGTATCCCCGAACCAACCAGCCAGTTTCCGACTTTGACCCTATAGAAAAAGCCAAGGGAAATCACCCGGAAACCCGAGCGTTGAATTTTCTGCCAATCAGGGACACCAACCAGAACCTCGGACTTGGTTGACGTTGAAGGGGAGCAAGAATTTAAATTTTAGCAGTTAAGTGAGGAATTCCCACTAAACCACAATAATTAAGCAAAATGTAAAAAAATGTTTCCCAACAACCACCATGAGACTATGACCCAGGAAAACGCCAGACCAAAAAGAAACAACTGCGCCCGAGAACTCGCCCGCGGCCATCGCGCATCGCGGCTGCCCGAGCTGCCGGGGGCAGGTGGTTGGCGGTGGAGCCCCGCAGCAGCTTCGTGGCGTTCAAGGCGCTGCCCGAGGGAACTGAGGTGACCACCGAGTTGGTGTGCACCATGGAATGCGCCTCCTCGGTCCAAAGGCCCGAGGGACACCCAATACCTGTTTTTTTTGCGCTCTTTTTTTGGGGTATGATGTCGACCCTCTACTAAAAAAAGAGGTATTTACCGTGGGTATTTAGAGTAGGGTGTGTGAGAGAGGACACTTCCGTGAGTCAATGAGGGGATTGGAATCCACCCAAGAAATCGATTTCGAAGCCCGACATGCGCGGGGGACACTTCGGTGAGGGGACTCCAATTCGTCCCCCCAAGTCAGTGGGAATTCAAATCCTCGACGTGTGAGGGACACTTCGGTGAGTCGGGAATGAAATCCACCCGGGGGATTCGATTCGTCCACCAGCTTTGAAGGGGTTGATGCGTCCACCACTCTTAATGTAGACATCACCTGACTTGAAGAAAAAAGTCAATAAGGGAGTCGAATGCGTCCCCCCAGTTCGGTGGGGACCTTCCAGGGTGACCCAGATTCAGCTTTTAAGGGGTGGGGATGAATTCATGTCCACCAACCACCCAGGAGATTCATGACCAACCTTTAATGGGATTTTTGACCAACTACCTCTGAGGGGGTTCCCATACATGGGGACTTCGCCACATTTGCTCTTGGCCTTCGCTTTGTAAGCAACCTCGTTTTGGTGTCTGAGTTGAAAGGTTCACCCAAGGCCCCTTGGAGCGGAGAATCCCCACGGAGTGCAGAGAGCAACTAGGTCTTGAAACCATAGGCCGTGGTGGTCATTCCCGTTGAAGACATAAAGACCGGCGCATATGATCTAAGCATCCAATCATCCAAGCGCCTAACAACCTACAATCCAACCCTCCCTCCCTCCTTTCATCCATGCAGCCCTCCCCTCCCCCCACCATCCCGTCCAATCCCATCCCATCCACCCATTCCTCCATCGACAATTCCACCCATCCGTCCATCCATGCTACCGTCCGCGACATCTGTCCATCTGTCCATCCAGCGTCCCGCCCATCATTCCATCCACGCACTCACCCATCCAGCCAGCCTGTCAATCCAGCCATCCCACTGCACCCATCCAGTGTATTCATCCACTGCATCCATGCACTGAATCCAACATGCACCCGCATAATTATGTCCAAGCCTGTTAATACACAGTTCATGTTGGCAAAACCGCCTCCTTCCGGCTGCGGGGGCTACCCGAAATGAACAAATTTATTCAGATTGGCTGGAGCTCGCCGAGGGAAAGGGTTCCCCACTCCCCCGCCCCCTCCGCACCGGGATGAGAAGTGAGAGCTGAGATGCCTGGTAACTGCTGGTACACATGCCGAGGACGCGGGAACATGTGAGAACCATCATGGTTCGTGTTTGTCTTGAACACTTCTTGCTCAGGGTCCACCAAGGGAAGGCACAAAACAGGTCTTCCCTGTCGGTAAGCATTGTATTCCTCAAACATCGCCCTTCCAACATGAAGCCTCACAGCGGGGTCCCCTCAAAAATAGCATTGCAACAGTCCCCCAATCAGGCTTCATGCTTGTGAACGGGAGGGCATGTCAAACCCTTTGTCGACACAGCCATTGCAATGGAGACCAACACGGCATGAACTGTTTTGGGCTAAAAAAGGAACTGCAAGTGTCACTTCTCAGAACCACAGGATTCGAAGTGAGTGATCTATATATATATATATACCTATATGTATACATATATATATATATATTCAAGAAATTGAAATCCCTCCCTCCCTCCTTGCAAAGAATCCAAGCCCAAACGCTACGGCCTCCAGACCTGACTCCTGTCCCTTTAAAGGGGAATCGCCACCAGCGCGAGCCTCGCTCGCTCCATCCGCCCGCTCGATCCGCTCGCGCCTGATTGAGCTCGGAGTAGTTCACCAGCAGCTGCTCCAGGAAGGGGATCTTCCCGCTCTCGATGGCCTCAGCTCCGCACCGCAGCTCCGCACGTCCGCACGTCCGCACGTCCGCATTCCGCACGCACGGGGCGAAGAGAGAAGGGAGACGCAGCATTCCGATTCCGATTCCGAGTCCGCAGCGTCAGGTATTTTTCCGGACGGGCGGAACAAATAAAAAAATCGTCCACTTGTCTCATGTCCTGAGTGGAGGGGCCAAAAAAGAAACAAACTTTTTTGGTTTACCACTGAAATGGTCTTTCCAAAAAGTATGAAGTCCAGGAACTAAAAGGAATGTCCTTGTTGTTTAAGGGTTTCGGTTTCCGTTTAATCCACGATCAATGAAAAGGGTATCCTCAAAAAAAAAGAAGAACAACAAAAACACGTACAGATACAACAGCACAGGAATGGAAAAGCCACCCCGGCCAAGCCATCCCCAATCACGCCTGCTTGGTTGAACCGCCCGGAAGGTGGCGTGTTTCATGTTCTCAAGATTGGGTGACGCCCAAACTACCATGTCCTTCCAAAACTCCTGGTAGCTCTGAAAGGCTTCCTCTTTAAAGCAAATTGGGATACCCCCAGCTCCGTAGCAGCCCCTTCCAACCACCAGCCAGTAAAACCAATATCTATTTCTACTTAACCCAACCAACCAGGCCGTCAAAAACAAAAAGCCGCCCACAGCGACCAAAGCCGGCGATAGATATTCCACGCCATTTTGGCAGCTATAGGCTTTCCGCCTAAAAAGCAAGCCGCACAGCTTCGGCCAAATTCAGTGGATTATTCAGTCTGAGCGGAAGTATTATTTTTGTGGTTGCGCCGGCTTTCGCCTGATTTTCCACTTAAACCCGACCCAACCAGGCCGTCAAAAACGTCAAAAGCAAAAAGCCGCCCAAAGCGCCCAAAGCCAGCGGATTCATATTCCACGCGCCGGCGCCGGCGATGGCGCCTGCATGAGCAACTTCACGGCCGCCGCCACGTGGGTGCCGGTGGCACACTGGCGCCAGTTGATGCACCGCAGCACGCACAGGGCCGGGGCGTTCCAGGTCTTCCTGGCGTAAGGAAGCCCCCGCTTTTTTGGCGTTTTGATAGGACACCTAAACATAAGTGTCCTTTTTGGGAAACCCCCGTTTTTTTGGGCGAAACTAGTTTCTTTCAAACTTCTTTTGGCTTGGGGGTGTTTTGAGGAAAGCCCAAAAGACGTGCTCCCATTGGGAAAACCAGTTTGTTTTCGGCGTTTTGAGGAAACCTAAGCATGACTGGGCTGCCCGTTTTCAGATCCCCCGCTAACAGTGAATAACTTTTAGTGGGGGAAAAAAACCAACTACCACTAAACACTAAAAGGCGAAAAAGCTTAGGGGATGGCTGGGAGCCAGCAAGATAAGTGTCCTTTTTGGGAAACTGTTTTTGGCGAATCATTGTCTAACAAACCCTTTAAACCTGTTTCTTGGGTGAAACCCTTTTGCTATTCAACCCCTTGTTTTGGGCAAACGATGCTTCACCCTTTAAGCCCCAAAAAAGGGGACACATCTATGTGGTGCACGTGGGTGTGAATTTCAATATACTCGAAATGAATCACATTTTTGTGGGAAATTCATGTCCAACCAGTAAGGGAATTCATGTCCATATTTCCCATGATAAGGAGAAAGGAAACATGAGCCCAAAAGGAACCTCGATTTAAATGGTACAAAGGGCTATCAAAAGTCTAAGGGAACATTTGGTCGAGATGTGAACCTCTGTTTCCTTCTGAAGCCAAGTTTATATATATATATATATACATTGGGACCAACATCGGCCTGTTTATCTGTTGGCAAGGGGGCAAGGGCAGGGACTATTTGAGACTATTTATAAATCTTTATAAATGTACATGACCAAATGACCACTCATCCTAGCTAGCACGGTTAATCATGAATGACACCATGCTGGGTGTTGAGTAGGGGAGGTCTGAACGAAATGCAAGTTCACCATCCCCTATATTGGTTTCCTTTTGGGGGAAATCCAATGCGCTCTTCCGCCGCCCTCCCCCCCACTGGCCGATTGGCTTTTGCCGAGGTTCTTAGAAGTCAGCTGGTCGCTGATCTCCGCGAGCAGGGCATCCATTTCTAGAGGAGCCACACTGCCTCGGTGCTCCCCCGTCCCTTGTGGAAAGCTTCAAAGCATAAGCTATTCAGTACCCGGGGTTCCTTCTATGTCCACTTTAAACATCACCCCTCAAGAAGAAGCGAAACCATTAAAGGGGCATAGGGAACCCTGATACCCGGTGCTTTCGGGCATGAAGGGAAACCCGGAAACCACAACTGCCAGGGGGGCGACTATAGAGGTCCCCCTGGTTTGTTCATGGAGGCATTCACATATGGCGTCTCTGCGAAGCCGTGCTACTTCGGCTTCGTTTTCTCACATACCCATACCATGTATGTGTGTACATATATATATAGAGATATAATGTCTTCACTGTTCTTGGCAAATGGTTTTTGGTTTGTTGGTTCTGTTCATTTTAGTAGGGGCTGCACAAAAACACAGTTTTTTTCAAGCATAGCAAGGGTTGCGAAGATATATTATATTCTTGGGTCTCCCGTCAAGCGTAAAAACAAAGCAGCCTTGGGCATTGGATTGCCCATTGATCTCTCCAAATGAAGCCAGGGTTGAGTGGGCTGCTTTGCGAGCCGCAAATCAACATGGGTGAGCCTTCTGGGCCAATTTCGGCCAATTTGAAATGAGTTTCCTTTTGGTGGTTGATGTTTGAGGGGGATAGTGTTTCTAGGTAGAAGCGAAAGTCAATTGATTTTGGGCGCAGTCAATAGTCCATGTGGGAGGGTCGAGACGAATAACAAACTGCAAAAGTTCACCCAACAACCAGAGTACCAGCCCTACTTGTCCCGAGGAAGTAATATGGCATCGCCGCATTTAATCCAGTCAAAAAGTTCCTATAGGCCAAGCCCAAGAAACCAGCAAGGCCTTCTTACCCCGGCGTGTGGCCATGGCAGAATCAATCCCCTGAGTAAGGTAAGTACCATAATAGCCATAACCTCCAACCCCCGTTGCCAGGGCTAAAGAATCATTTTTTTGAGTAAGGTAAGTACCATAGTGAGTAAAGAATCAATCCCCTGAGGGAAGCACCAAGCCATTTAAGCCATAACCTCCAGAGCGGCCGTTGTTGTCGAAGGCCTTTACAATGTGCGGGCAGCTGCTGGTGAGCATGGATGTGAGCTGCGCCAGCAGCGCCCACAGCTGGCCCTGAAAGAAACTCCCGAGTGGATGTGTGACTCGGGGGCTGCCCTTTTCACCTGGCTTTAAAGACAAGCAATAAGGGACCCCACCCTCTCCGATCTTTGGCACATACCCAAAGATAATTTGCAAAAATGCGGCAAAGTGCCTTTTCAGCAGGATTCCTCTAGAAATGGATGGTTGTGGGCCTGTTGTTTATCTGCAGGGGGAAATTGGGGGACTGTGCCCAGAAACGCTCGCACGATGGCAAGCGCATCATGAGTGAGTGCCAAACCTTTCTCACGCTGAGAGTGGCAAGCGGCTGTGGCTACCCTCCCCCAAACTCGCATGTCATGTGTTTGTTTTGCGCTTTCTGATGGACCAACTCTGTCTTGGTGTCGGCGTTCTCTGTTTAAGATCAGCGTCAAGGAAGCCAAAGGTAAACATCCAGGAGTCAACCCCACAATACCCCACATCTGAAAACAAACCCAGCAGTCATGCAATACAGGTTCTGTGGACCTGCGCTCCAGGTCTTCTAAATGCAGCAGACTGGCCAAACTCTGATTTGTGGTTGGTCTACTTGCTAGTAGCAAAAGCTGAATGCCTACGTCTACAAACGCACCCTCGGCGGCCACTTTTGGCCTCCAAACGGCCATGGATTGCACATGTATATGCATTGTGGAGCCACTTGTTGCTTGTCTATGAGGCAACTCACGGAGAAATTCACACCCGCGCCCCAATTGAACATGGACAAATAGGGGTGTGCTTCCCCATGCAGGAATAGGTTCCCCCTTAAAAGGGACACCTCCGTTTTGGCCAAACCTCGCATAATTTTCGGATTGCTTGCATCAGCTCTGCATATAACCTCTTGAACACTAAGACTACTATGTAAATAGCTGGGATCCACTGGATTCTGTCTGAAATGCCAACTCTGCACACAAAAGAAACGACAAACACGTTCGTTTTGGAGGACTTCAAGTGGTGAACCCAACAAAAAAACAACGAGCAACACCTGGTTTTCTCGGTTGCTTTCTGCTGCCCTTCTAAAAGATTGACTTTTAGTATCTTTTAGTGCTTTAATACGGAAAACCCATTAGTTGGCAAAAAGTTAAAGTCCTAATATCCCTGGGCAAAATGAACAAAAGATTTGGAGGAGACACCAGCTCCACACCCCCCCCCTCTCCGGCGGCCTCGCTCATGGCTGTCACGGCGCGGTCCTTGGGCGCCGCCGTCAGGGCTCGCAGCACGCAGCGCCTTGGTTGCGGTAACGACCCCCCTGCAAAAAGTGTTCAACTTGTTGGGGGTTTAGTGGAAAGCCCCCAAAGATTTCAACCAAACAAAAACAAAGTCAAAAGTTGTTTGGGGGGTTAGTGGAACACCCAAATTGATTTCAACCAGAAAGTTAAAGTCTAAAGATCCAAGCCAATAGCAGTCAAGGCGCATCGCCGCCAAAGTGATCTTGTCCCGCAAGTCCCCGAAGAGCTGTGCACCCGCCTGCGCATCAAGCGCAGGCAAATTGTTTTTGTTGGTTGGTGTGTTTGTTATTGGTTACTTGGTTTGTCTGTTGGTTTGTCTGTTTCATAGGTTGCTTGCACGCTTGCTGGATTGTTGGTTGGTTGGTCGGTCGGTCGGTCGGTCGGTTGGTTGGTATGTTTGCGTGCTTGTTTGCTTGTTTGCTTGCTTGTTTGCTTGCTTGCTTGCTTGTTTATTGATTTGTTTGCTTGTTTGTTTGTTTGTTGTATGATTGGGCTTGCTTGCCTGCGTGCGTGTTTGTTTGCTTGTGTGTTCGTCCGTTCGTTTGTTTGTTTAAGCATATCCTGGTGCTCCTAAAACGGAAGCCAACAAGATAATGTTTGAACAACGGCTTACACCATGGTTTCAACAAGCATGGCGGTGACAACCCTCCTTTGCGATGAGATGCGACATGGGTCATTCCGAAACCAAGGTCTGCGGCCACATCCCGTTATGCTTCGAGGGCCCAGGATTTTGCACCTTGTAAGAGCTAGGGGGGGTGGGATTGTGCTGTATTCACAAAAAGGGAAATCGAGCAATGAAGATTTCCAGGTCGAAATCGGCTCCCAGTCCAAAAATTGGAAATGCCGGTTGGAGACGCGGACCGTGCAAAAGTCCATGAAATTGCTGGGGGAGTTTTCCCAAAGAAACTCCAACTGCTGGTTAAAAATAAATAACAAATAAAATAAAATCAAAGAATCGCCGGACTTCCCTCTCAAGAGTCGCAAGCTGGCTGGCGTTCCCCTTCAAATGTTGATCAACATGCTGGGTTCCAATGCTCTTGCAACTGGATGGCAAATATTTCCTTCTGGCTTCTGGGTCGATGCGCCCGGTGCAGGGCCATAGCGGGTCACAGGGGAAGGGCAATGCAACCGGCTCATCCCCAAGAAACTGATGCAGAAGTTCCCCTGTCGTGCGTTTATAGTTGAAGTACATTCATCTAGCGCGCAGCCCTGCAGGGCATGAACGCTTCGAAGAAATGGGCTCGCAGCGTGCCTTTCGGGTGAACCACTTTGTTCTTTCACCTCAGCATTTGCCTCTCGGTGCATGACTGGCACTCTCAAGCTGAATCTCAGCTTCACCCGAATTTGCTGGTTTTCTTAGGGCGGTCTCTGCAAGATCTAGGGGGCCCGAGCGCCCAAGGTTGCCTGACCATCTGCTTCCATTTCCCCAGTTCCACAGACACCAACCAACAAAACACACGAACTTCGCCGGAGGAAAAAAAAAAACCAACAACTTCGCCACCCGCCACTTCTCCCCGCAGCGCCGGGCTTCCCTCGCCCGCACCGCGGGCGGCGGGCGGTTGCGCCTGGCCGGTGGCCACCAGCGCTGCGGCGGAGAAGATGAGCGCCTGCACCAAGGAGCTCTCCTGAGCCGCGCGCGCTTTGGGCGAGGTGAACAAAGGCTGGAATTCTTAGGACCCCAGCAACAAAAAAAAAAAAAAGCCAGGCGAGTGGAAAAGCAAGGGAACCCCCCCAAAAAAAGAAAGAAAAAAAGGGGGAGCTAATTCTGGGGAAGTTTTTGAAAAAGGGCGACGTGCGAGAGGCGAGCAGGACGAGCGATTCATATCGCTTAAGGTATGGTGGCCAACAACATGTGTGCGCGAATCACATCCCTTGGCGTGGTTGCAAAGCAAAAAAGAAACATGGTTTTTGTTGCAGCCGTGAACAGGACAACAAAAAAAAGCACAAAAAGCTTGCAAGAACAGTGAAGCCGGAGTAGGTAGCCCTCTCACATGTCTTGTTCATTTTGCGAGGATGTCCTCTCTTGCAAAAATCTACGCGAGTTTGGACCCTGAAATTGGCCTCAGGTTCACAGCTTATCAGGGGTCAACAGATTTTCCATAACGATCGCCACTTCCAAAAAGGGAAAGTCGATAGTTGCCAAAGGGGTGCTGGTGTTTCCCTGCGAGGTCTCATTTTAACTTCCAAGCCGCATAGGTCGACACTGACTGGTGTCGGCCTGTTGCTTTGATCACTCCTCAGGCGCGGGTGGAAAATGTGTCGGACGGGGCGCCAACTGAAATGCGTCTTGCTCGTCCAACATTCCCATGAACGTCCCTGGGAATGGAATGCAAACAAAAACCGGACATGGCCATGACTTTCTGGTGTTGGTGAAGAAAACAGCCCTACGTGAAACCAGGTTCTACATCTTTCCAGTTGTCAACAAAGGGCTGCTCCATGTCACAGCCAATGCCTGACTCAGCGAAACACCGGTCGTTGAAGAGCGTTCCTAATAACCATTTCCATGCCTGATGTTACCTCTATGGATTTCTTTCTCTTGGGGCGCCGTCCTCGGCTTTGGACACGTTGGGACCTGGCGGAAGAACTGGACCAGCACCATGGCAAAGCAACTGTTTTCGGAGTGTCAAGAAAAACATCCGAGGGCGAGTCAATCCAGCATAATCCAGCATATAATGACGCGTGGCGTCCAAACATCGAGGGGGCATTGCAAGCAGGATTGCACCGGATGATTGGTCCGGACTTGTGATTAATTAACAAACTGTGCACTCCAAGCACTGTTCAAGCGTACGTGTGTGTGTGTGTGTGTCAACATAGTTGCCGACCTGTTGAATCCCCCTTTAGACCAAACTGCAAAGGGCATCCTCACACGCGAACGCAAACCAATGCCCACGAGCAAGCATCCAGAACAACTGTACCCCATTCCCCCCCGCCCCCCCCCCCCCCCAAATCGCGATGTTATTAGGGAATGGGACGATGCGTTTTCAACTTCAGTTTTCCTGACACTCCCTCCTCCCGCGCGCTAAACCGCGCGCACGTACCGCGCGCGTAGACCGCGCTGATCTCAGCCGCGGCGCTCTCTCGGAAGGCCTCGATCTTGGAGTGGTACTCCGTGACCTCGTAGCTCAGCACCGCCACCGCCTCATCGGAGATCTTCCTTGGCGAAACGCGTAAGGCGAAAGGCTTGAGCCCGGATCTACCCAAGACTGCTGGGCCTAGCCCGGCAACTTCAAGGAATGAAGTACAGATCTCTTGGCTCGCCAAATTCGCAAGCAGGAAATATGTACACGTCCTGCAAGGCCGGTCGGGCTGCTCAAAAATGGAGTGGCTGCCAACACCTATCCCTGCTGGAAAACCACTCAAAGGGGACCCCGGATCACTTCCGGTCCGCTCCAAAGGAAAAGCCCTGCTCCCAGTGGGATAACCTTGGGCAAGGGTCCAAGCTCAACTGTCGTCTGAGTCATGCGGATTTCGGCACGTGCCAGCTGGACAGGCCGAGAAACGCATGGATTCGCAACGAGCAAACACTACCCGGACACTACCCTAGATGAGAAATGCGGGAATCAGTGCAATTCTGGCCAGCTACATGTTACAAATGCTGCAAGCTCGATGTGGAGACCCCTTTCGTAGCGCAAGGTAAGGAGTGAGGATTGCCCGCTGAAACGCCCAGTCCAGCCCATCCACAGTACATTGCCACCTGTTTGCGCATGTTGAAGCAACATCTCTTGAAAGGGAGCCAGTTCTGGTTGAAACATGTGGGCATGCATGACATCCTGTCAAAACAACATGTCAACACCAAAGACGCTACGGCTACGGCCCTTGCTGACAGGATACCGGCACGAATGTCATGCAAACTGAAGAGCGCATGGTTGGTCTGGTTGGTGAAAGTGCCCGGGTTCATTGAAATTTGTGGAAGCGTCCATAGACATGTGAATGCCGAATGCCCGGATGAAATCGGTGGGATCTTCCACTTTGGATTCAAATCGATGCTCACCTGCAAAACCGATGTGTTAATATGGGGGTCTCTTTCGGGGTACTCTTTTGGGTTAGCTTTACAGGGAAACTGACAGGAAAAGGCATTTTAGCGGGGGCTCCCAATTTTTAAGAGATCCCCCCCCAGTGTTTGAGAGTTGCACAATTTGAGTGTCTCTTGAAACAGGAGGACCCCCCAAAATGATGGGTTCTCCTCGTGGTGTCTGTTTTTAGCCCCCCCCCAAAGAAAAGAAAAGAAAGAATAATAAACAAAAAAAAACAGAAAACCCCAAAAACAAAAAAACAAAACGTGAAAAAAAACAAGAGAAAAAAGAACAACACGCACCCACGTGTCTGTCGCTGTCTTGGCATAGCTCCGAGTGTCTGGAGCACCTGGAACACGTCCAAGGCCGCATCCAGCTGGGCGTCACTCTTGGATTGCAGTCCTGGGTCGAGTTGTTTTGAGCGGTTGCCATAGGTGGCCTTTTGGAAAAATAGATGGCCCTGGTAAATGGAATACACCCATCTAAACCAGGGCCCGCTATTTTTTAAGCAAACCAACCAAAAAGGACACTTATGACGGTGACCACTTGAGTGACCCCATTTAGTGGATATCCCCGCAGGAACCCCTGTGTTTTGGACAAAGTCTGGAGTGGAAAATTTGGCAGCGGACTTGTGAAGACTTCGCTCTCTGAACGCTTTCCTCCCAGACAGTGTTTACAGCAGCAAGAGCCAAGCCCCAAAATAAACCACAAAAGGGAGCTTGATTGGAAGGCTTGGAGCTCAAAATCTCCAAAGACGCCTCCATGCTGGCAGTTTATGTTAGACATTCCCACTGACTGCCGTTCTGATCTCTTCCCGGCCTCCATGGTGCAAAGGCTTGAAGAGGCCCTCAATGTACGCCAAGGTATCATCCTCCGGCGCGGGCAGGAGCTTCTTCCTGAAGGCTGGGCTGATCACTCAACGACTCAACCCACACCCCTTCATACGTCACTTTCGGGGTGCTCACAAAAGGGGTGCCTTGGGTGGACACATCAACATAATGACGGAAAAGCATGGCAAACCGTTTTCCACGCCATAGCCCTGAACTCTCGCATCAGCCAGGCATTTCTCTTGCTGACCTTCTCTCACAAGCAATCCAACTGAGCCTGAATCCTACTGCTTTCTCCGCCATAGTTAGGATCGCCCCAAGACGCCACAGAGCCGTCGGCCAGGATGGCAGAAAATGCGGTTGCAGTTGCTTGGATCTGCTGGACGCTCACCAACTGCCCGCGTGCCTGGCTGCTGTCACCACCCCAGTCAGGATGGCCCCAAGTCACCACAAAGCCGTCGGCCAGGATGGCAGCAAAAGCACGCTGATTTGCTTGAATCTGATGGACCTGCACCAACTGCTCTTGCACCTGGCTGCTGTCACCGCCATACATGTGATGGCCCCAGGTCACAACGGACCCATCTTCCAGGACGGCAGCAAAAGCACCCTGAGTTGCTTGGATCTGCTGGACGCGTTCTAACTGCTCGCTCACCGGGCTGCAGTCCCCGCCAAAGCCACAATCGCCCCAAGTCACCACAGAGCCGTCGGCCAGGATGGCAGCAAAAGCACGCTGATTTGCTTGAATCTGCTGGACCTGCACCAACTGCTCTTGCACCTGGCTGCTATCACCGCCATATATGTGATGGCCCCAAGTCACAACGGACCCATCTTCCAGGACGGCAGCAAAAGCACCCTGAGTTGCTTGGATCTGCTGGACGCGTTCCAACTGCTCGCTCACCGGGCTGCAGTCCCCGCCAAAGCCATAATCGCCCCAAGTCACCACAGAGCCGTCGGCCACGGCAGCAAAAGCGCGCTGAGTTGCTTGGATCTGCTGGACCTGCACCAACTGCTCTTGCACCTGGCTGCTATCACCGCCATACATATGATCGCCCCAAGTCACAACGGAACCATCTTCCAGGACGGCTGCAAAACCAATCTGAGTTGCTTGGATCTGCTGGACGCATACTAACTGCTCTCTCACCCGGCTGCAGTCACCCCCATTGATGGGCTGACCCCAAGTCACCACAGAGCGGTCGGCCAGGATGGCAGCAAAAGCGCGCTGAGTTGCTTGAATCTGCTGGACCTGCACCAACTGCTCTTGCACCTGGCTGCTGTCACCGCCAAACTTGTGGTGACCCCAGGTCACAACGGATCCATCTTCCAGGATGGCAGCAAAAGCACCCTGAGTTGCTTGGATCTGATGGACCTGCACCAACTGCTCTCGCACCTGGCCGATGTCACCGCCATGGACAGGATCGCCCCAAGTCACCACAGAGCCTCCTTCGACATAAAGCGCGAATGCTCGCTGAGTGGAAGATAGCTTCGCGTGCTGCGCGATTGCAGTTATACTGTCCCCGTCTCGCAGGCCCACCTCAACAAGATTGCGTGATAAGTCCAGCTTCTCACTTCCGCACAGCAGCCTCAGAGAGCGGCGCTCGAGCTGACTTTGCGCCTCAACCTTCAGTTCACGAATGCTCGACTCAGGAGGCAGTGCAACGGAGCAGCTGGTTCCACTCGCCAGGTACACATGCAATTGCATGTCGCCGAACTTGCACCTCGAAGAGGCGGGCAAATGGGCGAGTACCGACTGAGCCACTAAGCAACCAAGACCATCACGTACAAACTCAAGCTACGGTTGGGCATTCCCTTTCTTGACCCTGGTTGCCCATACAACCGACACACAATACCCGCTCTATTCAGGGTGCGATGTCAACCCCGTAATTTCTACACAAGAAAGTATTTACACTGGAAAGCCTGGCTTATCAAAACATGACAACCGAAGAAAACCAGGTGCGGGCCGGGCGGTTTTTGGAGGAAATTTGGTAATTACTTCTTGAGTGCACCGGACCAAGATAGAATGATGGTTCTAACCCACAAGTCCCCAGAAAATGTGGGGTTAAACATGCTACGGGGCGAAAAGACCCAATGTGGCGTTTTCCACTCATGAATGGGGAACGCTAAAAATTGGGGGGTAAGGAACCCTTGTGACAAGCCAGGTGCAATCCAAGCCGCACCCTGGCCCCGCCCCTCAGGAGCTCCCCATAGAGGGCACGGCAATAAAGGGCGCAAACAAGGCTTCCCGTACATAAGGCGCAGTTAAGCCCATAGAAGGAACAAGAAAACGTCCGTCGGTTTCCGGCGACCTGTTCTAAAAAACACAACCCTTGGCCTTGGTCAACGCAGCCTAAAATCGCCACCTTTGCTCACCCCCAAACCTAGGTCATCAAACACATCGTCGAAACTCGATCACATCGTCGAATCTGCAGAACTTGGCAATCGGTCCCTAGAGCGCCTGACTTTCCCAATGTCTGCGAGTTGGATTGAAAAAGGCACCATTGTTGAATGTTTCTTTTTTTTTTTTTTTTTTCGTATGCGTGTCATCCCATGGGTTCGTGGCCACTTTCTGTAACAATAGATTTGATAGACCCAAAGCTACCGTTGTGTGTCCCCGTGTTGCTCCATTTATCTGCCTGTTGGCCTACTGTCTATCCATCTGTCTGCTTGTTCATCCATGCATCTGTCTGTGCGTCTAGTTCTCTTCGTATGAATCTGTCAACCGGCTATTCTGTCTAGCTTTGTGTCTACTTTTCCTGTTCATCTAACCCTACCTATTCTCACCTAGCCTAATCTAATCGAATCTGTGAATCTGTCTATCTACTTACCTGTCCACCTCTGTCCTTCTACCTAACCTATCTATCGACCTAACATAACCTAACGTGGTCTGATCTAACCGGTCTATCTTATCTGATCTAATCAATCCATCACCTATCAACCCAGATCATATATGTCTGAAGTCCGTCCATCTATCTATCAAATCCAAACCGGGTCTGCCTCTTTAGTCTAACCTTACCTTGTCTCGTCCAGTCTAATCTAGCTGCCTATCCACCTAGCAAAACTTCTGTCTTGACATTTATCTACCGGGCTTCTCTATCTATGAAAGCATCTGTCTAACTATTGACGTAGCCATCAATATCTGTCTATTGTTCTATCCGTCGAATCTGTCAATTTATCTTTTGCATCAAGGAAGCAAGAAAGCACTCAAAGTACTGCGCCCGTCACGAAACCCAACCTGTAACTTTGACACAGCGGTGCGAGTCAAAAGTTGCCGCGGAACTGCGGTGCCAGCCACAACGAGCGGATTGCACGACAGGGCCGACGAGCACGACGCTTGGGCAAACGCTTGCACGCGCCTACCAAGCAGCACGCATCAAAACGATCACCCCAGATACGGACATCTCAATCGCATGGCGACCGGCGCAAACGCACAACCTTCCAAAACACCGCGCCTGCGCAGTAAAGGGACACGCACCTTGCAAGGGCATGCAAAGCTACGAGTGCAACGAACACAAGATGCTGCAAGCCGGGGCCTTCCCAGCGGCACGGCAGCTTTCGCCGAGTGCTGACCGCTCGCGGGGGCGACGCTGGCGAAGACATGCTGACCCCCAGACCTGTTGAAACAGAGCAGTTTCTGGGTGTCCCTTCCAAGCAAAATGTAATTGGACCAGGCGACCTGACCAGGTGCCTTTTTACCTCAGCATTTTGGCCACCCAGAATGATCAATCAACTAATTTTGAACCCCTTCTTGAGTTTGGCCTTCAGAAATCCGAAGCACAACCTCCAGCACGTTCGGGCCCCGTTGGCCGCGGGGGAGGAGAAAAAAAAAAAAAACGCCGCGCCCTGCCCAAAGCGTACTCAAAGCGCGCTCCGCGTTTTGGGCGGCGAGGGGCAGCTGAAAGAAGAGCCTCTCGGCGGCGCTCACCAGCACCGTGGGCTCCCAGCGAGGGCTCTGGACGTTGAGATGGAAGTCCCACCTCGGACGAAATCCTCTGAGGCACCGTTCAGAAAGCCAGGGAGGATTGGATTCCGCTGCAAATATCCACAAACGATGGCTTCAATACCGTTCAGAAAGCCTGGAAGGATTGGATTGTCCTGAAAATGCGATAGCAAACGTGATGGCTTCAACAATGGTTTCAAAGTGGTGCGTAGTGGATTGCGGAACACCGGACAAACCAGGAATGATTCGACTCCGCTGCAAATATCAACAAATAATGGCTTCAACCATTGCTTCAAAGTGATGCAGGGTTTCGCAACCATCCACACTAGGCATGTCGCAAGCCACGGGACATTCTAGAGGGTTCCTGGATTGGTCCTGAGGCTGGCGTCTTAGAGCAGACCTCCGTTTTGCGGGGTCCATGAGTTTAGCTTTTGACCTAACCTCAAATAAGGCCCTCAACGTGTATTTCCGCTTGAACCTGTGTCGAGTTTCGGTCAAGGGGAATGGGATGAGCTGAGACCATCCTGGTGGTTTCCTTGAAAGGCTGGCGCAGGGGTACCCTCAAGCAAATCTAGGTCCTCCAGTAGAGAGGTTAGAATCAGGGTACCCTTTCTTTTTTTCTGTAGTCTATGTTAGTAAAAAAACACCCTCCCCCCAAAAAGAAACGGTAAAAGGGCACTACTGGGGAACCTAGAAATTGAAGGGACCCGCGTCCTCCCATTGGAGGGCAATATAACTCGTCCGGAGCGCAGGATGGGCAGATGGTCCGACGGCAGCAGCTCGTTTGGCATCAAGGCCAGCCAGTCCCGGTCTGCGGGGTCCTGAGCAAAAAACAAAAAACGCTCAACTGGATGGGGCGGGGGGGGGGGGGGGGATTTCGCCCTTTGAAGATTCATCTTTGTCGATGTGTTTTCGATGTGATTTGATTTTGCGCTGCATGCCTGGGAGAGCCAAGTCCACAGAACCGTGGGCATTCAGCATATATCTTAGGATCAGGTGAAGCATCAGGAAACCTGCAAGGGCGGCGTGCTAGTGCCTGGAGGCTGCTGTACTCCCCAAGTCTTGGCTTAGTGCAGGGCTTACACAGCCTGGGCTTAGCAAGTGCTAGGCCCCAAAGCCCATGACATGCAAGCTCAAGGCCGGTGCACAATCCAGCCAAGGCACGTCTGTCTTCCTGAGCAAAGATGCGGCTAACCGTTGATCCGTCAGATTGCAAATCCCCACGGCTTGCAAAGGAGATGCTTGAACATGAAAATTCAGGATACATGAACGGGCATCCTAGGGCAACCTCACCCTGATCTGGAAATCACGGATGCAACCATTCCTACAGAAAGCTTCTCAAGGCACGCAATATCTCCGGCAGAGGACAGTGCCCGTATTATGGCAATATGTTGTCTCCAGGTTGGTTTGGTGTGTTCAGCCGAGCGCACGTGCAGGCTCAGAATCAACAGTGTAACCGCATTCGAAGCGCCAAATCCGTGCGCTTGCACTTCTCAAAGTTCGAGAGGCAACAGTGCTAACTTCTCCAGTCCAAACCCAGATGAACCCTTGGTTGCTTTCTGCAAAGCCCTGCTTTTTTTTTAGTGGTTTAATACGGAACACCCATTGGTTGGCAACAAGTTAAAGTCCTAACATCCAAACAAAATGCACCAAAGAACCTCTATGCTTTACAGGATTTAGGGTCCCAACTGGATTGGGGGAAGAATGCGGTTCAATCACAATCGAGAGGTCAGAAAGCGCAATACCGCCAATAGAAACCAGGAAGGGTTTTAAGAACCTTGCAAGGGGTTCTGAGAAGGTTTTGAGAACCTTTTTCATGGGCAACCTGGGTCTCAGAATTACTCCTCAGCAAAAAAACACTTCATCACCGCTCAGGTGGTTTGCTTTCGGGCTAGGACTTGCGATGCAGCGGGCCTTCGCACCCTACTTTGCTCAAGCGGGGAGAAAACAGCGCCGAGTGCCCCAAAGCCAAGCCAAGGGCGTTGCCAAACTCCGAAGCACCGGGGTGCGTCAGCTTCCCTCCAATGGTTGGAGTGGTGGTTTGCAGGGTTCCGGAGGTGGTTTCCCTTTTTCCCTCCACAAGAAGGGGAAACCTGAAAACCAAACCACTGATTGGGGGCAACTTGTGGTGGAAAGCCATAAAAACACAAAAGCGATCTCAAAGGCACGCCTGTTGATTGACAAGGTCGCTGAAACTCGAATTCATTCACGCAGCGCAGTCAAGCTCATGTTTGTCTGACCGGTCAATGAGCAAACCCCCAAGCTTTACCTTGAGAGGGACAACGCTTCGGGCTTTCCAGAATGAAGCTAAACATGATCTTGCACCTTCTCTCAAGCATTCAGTTCGGTCTGATCTTGCGGGGGGTTCCCACCGATGTGCGTCAAGTCCATGGGACATGAATCGAAGCTCATGAAACGTCGGAAGGTTGCAGGGCACCAAACAAAATAAACATCCGGCCGTGTCTTAAAATAGGATTTGGATCCCCTTTGTTGGTATTCCTTGTGGTTTCCCTTTAAGCCAACCTCCAACACAGTAAAAACTCCGAAAACAGACACTCCATCCATCACATTGTTCCAGTTCGACTGGAAACGAGATCGATCCCACTGATTGAGATTGAACTCCCGATAGAATGTTATGTTCACGCGAATACGCGCACCGGGGTATGTTCAACCAAACTGGCCTAACAAAAAGACACTTACTCTCCAAACCAACATGGAAGGACGACCCACGAACAAATGATTTTGCTCAGGGCGGGTTCCATGTTCATCTGGGGAAGATGCCGAGATTTCTCTGAGGAGGGTCCCCCATCTGCGTTTTGTGCCGTCCCAGGCGCTTCTCCCGCAGCCTCAGCGCTTGCTCGCCCTGGCGGAAGAGGTGCCGGCCCTCGTAGAAGATGTGGTCAATCAGCTGGTACATGTCCTGTCTGCTGCCAAAAGCCGCCGCAAAAACTAGGTGGCTTGCTCGAAAAGGCACTTGGTTTGGCCTTTTTTGACCCCTCTGCAAAAAGTGGATCACTTTTTCTGGGGTCCCATGGAAACACCGGCCTGGTTCAACCACAGAACTGGTGGGTTGCCCTGAGACTTCCTGAGAAACATGCTTGCTGGTACCCGAGATATGTCCGAGATTTCTCCCAACATCACCCTAAGAGCACAATTGGTCCGAAAAGAAGCGAAGTGGTTGTTTCGTCCTTCCGGCTTCCTGCCAAATGGTTGCTTGCAAGCTTACTTTCTATATACAAGGACTAGGGTTCAACTCCCTACATCACAAATCCCAAGCTTCCGCATGTGTGCTTTTTCAGGGCACCCGTTTCAGATTTGTTTAGAGGGAACCCAATGGGCGACCACTTGGGGGGGGGGGTCCTATCTTGGCACATGCCCTTTCTGGACGAAAAGCTGAACGCTCAGAAGGGACACCAGGGTTCCCATAGCGACTTGTCACTGGCCGAGAAAGCAACTTGTTCCTGTTGCTCATGCGATGTGATTTCTGTGGGCCATCTGCAAGCCCAGGAATGCTGAGTCGAATTCCCTGTCCGCCCGCAAAGGCGCTGACTAAACGGGGAGTAAGGCAAAAAAGGTTCTTCAAACAAGCGGGAACAACAACACGCTGCATTCCCACACTAAAACTTTGCCCAAGGCAAATAATCCTGAACTACAGCTGGCCGACCATCCGTCAACTTAAAGCATAAACTAGTCCCATGATTTTATCATGATTAAAGTCACCTCCCAAGTGGTAGGCTAAAGGGGCACCACCTCATTTTCCGACCTTGATAACCCCCAACAATGTAACAACAGTGAACATACCCGTTCAACCCTCGGTATGGTAGCAACAACTTTGTTTTTTGCAGCTCCCTCCTAAAAATGAAGAGAACCAAACAACTGCCAAACTTCAACCAGGTAAAGGACCTGACCGGAGCCCGCAGCTCTGAAAAGCTCTCCTCTTTTACATCATCCCAGGGGGATAAGCTCAGCACGATGCAACTCCCAAACTTCCATTTGCGGATACGTGGGAAAGAGTCGACATATGTCCAGTGATAAATTCCAGTTAACCAGAGGAAACTAATCATTGCCCCTATTAATCGACGCACCCTATTGACAAGGGTGCCCGGAAAAGAAAACATTCCGGAAACAAATACCCCTCCTTAATAAAGAAGGATCCCCAATTTCGCGCCAACCCGACACCAGTCTTTTAGGGGTATTCCAGCACATATAACATATATATAGTTCATGTTTATCTATACGAATTCACATCCAGGTCTTTAAGTGTGTAATTCGAACATCAAATTGTGCAGTGCCTTTTACTTCTGAACTGCAAAACTGGGAAAACAACCTTAAACGGCTGTTAAATTCGTTCCTCGGAAAATGTCGATTTTGACGATGTTCGTGTCTGGGAAAGGGGGAGCCCATCTGGACGAGGACCGAAGAGAAAGTCTGGTCGACCCCTAACTGCCCCATTAATATAGATACTGTCTGGCAGCAAAGGATGTTTTTTTTTGGGGGGGGGCGTATTTATTAGTACAGGGACGGATTCCAAAGACAATCTTGAGCAAATCTCACGTCCTGAGTCGGTTGTTTGCCAAAAAAAGTCCACACAACTTGCTGCGTTGCCCCTATGTTTGTTTGTCCTTCCCCCCCCCCAAGAAAAATAAGGAACAAAAACGCGACGGAAGTCCAGTTGAACCGTCAGGGGCATAGGTATCCTTTTTGGAAAATAGATGCCCCCGGTAAATGGGGAAAAAAAAACACTCTAAACCAGTGCCATCTATTTCTAATCAAGCTCTCCTCAAAAGGACGCCCATGGGGACCGACCCCAGGGACCGGTCATCTGAACACGTGGCGCCTCACCCACCTTCTTGGGCTGTGCGGAGGCGCTGCCACGCATCTTCCAGACCTCGGCTCAGCCGGATGTGAGGCCATGAGTCTAGGGGTTGATTCCCGTTCCATTCTTTCCAGGGATCCGAATCTTTCTAGATAATCACCTGCTTTTCAGCCATTGTTCTTTTCAGCCATTCATTCTTTTCAGCCATTCATTCTTTTCAGCCATCGTTCCTTTCAAAAACCGATCGCCATGTTTCCAGGGTTTTTGGTGGTTTTCTAGATAGAAAACGGATCCCTGGTGTCCGTTCGGGAAAATAGATGGCACTGGTAGATTATAAAACAACCAGGTTGACCAGGCCCATCTATTTTCTGCCGAAACAACAAAAAAGGACACCCATGGGCCCATGTTGGGTTTGAATTGGATCTCAAAGACAGGGTTGCTTGCGGATGCTGCCTGGATGTTTGCCATGGAACCAGAAAAATCGACGTTCTGAAGAAATCTTCCAAAAGGAACTCTTTATTGGGTTCCTTCCGCTAAGTTGGCTGCTTTGCGCGGTTGTTGTCCGGGGAGCGCACCAACAGCGGGTTCCCCGCCAGTCAAGGGAAGCCGCGAGCTGCCGAGCTGCTGAGACAGGTGGATGCCAAATATCCCGTGTGCTCATATAATAGGTCTCCCACACGCTGCGAAGGTCCTGCCAGGCGTGTGCCCATGATGGCTTCTGGGGCAAATCACTTAAGACCCAAGCACCCCTGAGAAAAAATTGGCCACCAAAAAGGGGGCCTTTTTCGGGTGCCATGCTCTTTCTTTTTTTTCCTGGAGGGTAGCCTGGTTGCCTCAAGCAGGCCATCGCGGCCACACTGACATGTTCAGATTTCGCCATCGACATCCAGTGCTTGTTTGGGGGAGTATGGGCGTAGAGAGGTTTACGGGCCTACAAACACGTGTCCCATTCTGACACATGGCAGCATGCAGCATGCGCCCACTGGCAAACCATAGCCGGGTGGATGGCTTTGTTCCTCTTACAGCCCAAATCCCCAAAGCAATCGCCTTGCGGTGGCAAAATTCAGCTTCCTACTAGTTGGTGGTTTGGATTGATGGTTCCCGGGTGGTTTCTCGTTCATCCTCCACACCGGGGGTTCAAATCCCCAACCACCAATCCAAACTACCAGATAAGTAGCCTGATCTTTCCAACCCGTGGCTACGTAGTAAACAACTTGGTTTTGTGCAGCCTCCCCCCCCACCAACAATGAACAGAACCAAACAGACTAAAAACCTTTAAAAAAAATGCCAACATTCAAACCTCCAAACCACCAATCCAAACCACCAACTAGGGGTAGCCTGATATGCAGGACATCTGGAGAACACTCGAGCACTTGTTGGTGCTCAGCAGATGAGAAATCCATCCAACTGGTGCCCTTCAAGGGAACCCCCAGGTTCATTCCAAGGCTTTCCAGTAAAGAGGTTACAATAAGGGTACCCTTTGTTCTGTAGTCTAGTTTGGTAGGGGAACCCTCACAACCAAAAAAGGGTGAGAAAGGGCGCTACTGGGGGACCTAGAAGGGAATCCCCAGATTCATTGCCTCATTCCCTGCCCATCGCACCAGCCAGAAATGGCCATGGTCAAAATCCCGTACCCCCAGTGAACATCCCGGTCCCCTCTCAAATAGGTTCTGACATGGGCATTTCACCTGCCCCAAAATCTCGGTTGCTTTCCCTGCCAAAAGTCTAACTTTTAGTGGATTAATACCAATTTGTTGGCAAAAAGCAGACAAAGTCCTAACATCCCTTGGCAAAATGCAAAGAAATTCAGTCCCAGCGGTTTCGACCGCATACCACCGCCGCCAAATCCGCCGCCGAATCCGAAATCCAAATCCGCGAAAGCCAAATCCGCTGCCGTGGCGCGTTGTTGTGCATGAAGCTCTGCAGGGCGTTGGCATCCTCCGGCACCGGCACCCGGCTTCCCTGGCTCATGTCCTGGCGCGCGGCGGCCATGGCCATGGCCAGTTGGCAAACCCATGGCCCGTTTTGGAACGAGCCAAACGGAAAAACATGGGGTCCATAGGTGTCAAAATATTCCGTAAATAGATGGCCCTGGTGGATGGTTGAACCACCAGGTAAACTAGGGCCCTCTTTTTTGCAGCCAAACCAACCGAAAATGCGCCTTCTTAGGGGTTTTGCAGGGGTCGGATCCTTGGTGGACCGAGTTACATGGTGGATTGCAGCCACCAACTCGTTGCCGGAAAGAAAGACGCTTGCAGTCAAAAAATCCTGTGTGCAATGCTGCCTGCTCTACGCTGATAAGCTGCATCCAATGGCCAACTGCGAGCCCACCCAAAACAGGGTAACCTTCATCCTTGGCTGGAATTAGGACCCCAGCAACCAAACTATAGAACAGGTTAAACAACCGGGAAGGGTCACAATTGAACCCTGTACACAGCGCGCTTTTTCCTTGAGCCATATGCAGTCGTGATGATGAGACTGCACAAGTGAGACATTCATGCATTGGGGTTTTACATGGTTGATAAATACATCACGTTGCAAACTACACCCCCCGTGCCCGAAAGTGAAACAGGAGGACAAATGAAAGGGATGAAACAACCAAAGAAACCCGATAGGCATGAAGTCCTTTTGCAGCACACAAGCACTTGGATGCGAGCAATCGGCAGTTAAGGTCTTCCGCCTCCACTGACCGTCGCTCTCGCGAGGCGTGCTCATGCACTGTACATTGATCCTCGGCCAACATGATTGAGAAGTATAATGAATATTCAATTTGAAATGTAAATGGATGTCAGCCGAAGATTGAAAAGATTGTTGAAGAGATCGCTCATTCATCGCCAATCCCAATTGCGGGAGCTCTTCCACGGGCGCTGATCATCAGACCACCACGAGTCCCAGGATTGGCCCCAGCTTCCCCAGTACGACTGGCTCCATTGACGATCTTGCCATTGGCCACCGGTCTCCCGGAGCTGCGGAATGGGCTTGCGCGTCACACCGACAACTGCAGGGAGCGGGGTGGCTCGTCCAGGGATCTCGATGTTGGGGATCTCCTCTTCGACGAAGCAGAGCAACTCAACCAATACCATTTCGGGGTCTCCCACAGACGAGAAATCCCGGGTCCAGCCCATCACGGGGTAGCGGTTGCTCTTGTCAAGGCTTCCATGCAATGCAGCAAATTGTTCTGGTTCCAGAAATCTGCCACCATGCACAACATAGACGTCCTTCGGATCGACCTCCTGCACGTCCTCCGTTGGCGGCACCAGCGTTAGCCGTGCGTGATATTTCGGCACAGCAACGCTTCCTTGGATCATTTCCTTGGTTCTCACGAAACTCGGAATAATGCATCGTGCCACCTTCTCGATGAACTCGAGGGCGGACGGCGTCAGGTCTCCCCGCGCGGCAGTGTAGGCGTAGAAGGGGTCATTGATCAGCCTCTCGTACAGCGTGGTGTACTCCTTGTTGCGAAGAACCGCTTTCTTGGCGATGTCCTTCATGATGCCGAGGCCCCCTCTTGCGCTTCGATCTCCCCGCGCATCCTTCCGCTGCGTCAATATCTGAGTCTCAACCTGGTCCATGGAAAGCGGCACGCCCAAGCTGTTGGCCTTCTCCTGCAAACGGACGACCCTGGCTATTTTCTTGATATCGGGCATGCGTTCCATCAGCTGGTCACACTGAAAACAGTTGATGGTGCCGACCGGGATGAGGATTTTGCAGCGAGGGCACTCAACGTCGGGGATGCGCATGACCTCCGCGAAGCGCCAATTTGTCGACTTCTGCTTGTTGGGATCCAAGTCCTGCCACAAACCACTCCGGCCTCGGGTTTCCCCGGGCTGCTGCGTCACAGCTCGGGCCCAGTTCCTGTAGAGGCCATAGCGGGCGGTCTCGAATTCAAGCGCGACCTGCTCTTCTTTCGGGAGGTTCTCGTCGTAGACGTCCCTGACCTTCGTCACATTGCCAATGCGGTGGGGCCGCGTCATGTCGCGGCACGCTGTCGGAGCCCACTGTTTGTAATAGAGCTTGCACTCCTTCTCAGCCTTCGCCATGAACGATTCCAGCACTGGGGCCCTTCTGGGTCTCTTCCCGATACTTCTTGATGCTGTCCTGGTAGTTCCGTCTGACGCTGACGTACATCCGGTTGGACCAGATAAACTTTGCACATTCAGCGTCATAGGCGTAAATGAGGACCTTGTTCGTGATCCAATCCTCCGTCACCAGGGCTTCCCCGTCTCCGGGTGCGTACAGCCGACATCCCAATTGGATCAACATCTCCACATCGACGGCGATGTTGATGGGTCGGTCAGCACGCGCACCCCCCGCCTTCCGGCCATGCCTGTCCCAAGGAGGCACTACCGTCAGGTAGGCGTGACCACGCGAGGTTTGCCGGTCTCCCATTCCGCCCGGAAAGATGCCCATGTAGATGATGTCAAAGAAATTCTGCATGTTGCACGTGTGGTAGGCGATTTTGGGCAGCGCCTTTCGGCGTGCGTCCGAGAAATCTTTGCAGAAGCCCGGTCGCACACCCTTCTTTGCGTGCTCAATGGTGTAATTGACATCCATTGCAATGGGATCTCCAGGAATATTGTCAAAGCCGCTGGCCTCGGTCACCCAATCGTTGTGGCCGGTGAACGCGCGAATGCGTAGTGGCATGAAACTGAGCCCGTTCCATTGCTGCCCGGCCGGCGCGTACTCGACATAGACCTCGAACCGATTCGATGTGGACGTGGCCTGAAGAAGAGTGTATTGGGAGCAGTTCCAGTCATATCGACGTTGGATCCATTTGGCGACGGCTGCGTAGTCGAAGGAGTTGTCCTTGAGATTGATCTCAGGGATGGATCGCGTCGCATGTTCGTGGGCATGTCCGCGAACCAAATACGACACCTTCTTGCTCAAGAACGTCCTTCTGCCATAGTTCTGGATCTGGGGAATCTTGATTCCTGAGCACTTGATCCACTCCCTCTTGGGTTCAGCAGCCTTGCCACGGGTCTCCCCGGGCTTTCCAGCAGCTTTGGAAACTGCCTTCGCCTTGGGGGTGATCTCCGGGCCACGGATCTCTCCGGGCTGAGTCTTGCTGGTCCCAGCCCCGGACGCCTGATCGCTGGATGAGGCAGCAGGCATTGGCATTGCCTTTGATTTCACCTTTGGTGTCGCAGCACTGAGAGCTGCAGTCATTTTGTTATGACCTTTCCGCTTGGAAGTGAGGATGAGCTTGATTTGGCCGTCCTCACCGATGTCGTTCGGATCCACTGCGGCAACCTCAACGGCCTGGCCTTTCGGCCGGCTGACCTTAGGCTGAGAGCCAGGGGGCAGGTCGAAGCTGATCAGGTCCTCCTCATCCGAAGAAGAAGACCAATCAATCACATCGTTGAGGCCGCTGACGGTCGCCGCGTGAATGTCGGGCTGCATCATCTGCAAGATCTTTGCTTCCTCCTTGACGGTGTCAAGGGGGTAGAGGGGGTTTGCCTCCTTTTCAGTCTCCAGGAAAACCTCGCGCTTCGGCTCTTGCGCGGCGATTTGGTTGATCGCCTCCAACTCCCTCTCACGGACCTCATTGTCGAACGGGTCCTCAGGGTTCTTTGCAATTGCCGGACCGCCAGTTTCCTGGGGTGTAGCGCCAACGATCGGGATTGATGTGTCAATATTCATGTATTCCCTTTCGAGGCGGTACCAATTCATCGCCATTTCGAAGCGGTTGATTTGGCCAATGCAGTACCCGAGCTTCGCGGCGGCCACATAGTAATTGATGTAGTGTTTCCTGTTGCGCTCGGTGTCATCGGTGTGGATGCGGTCTGCCCGGGACGTGTTGGATATGAGAGTCTGGGGGTCGAGGACGGTGATTCCCGCGGAACCATGCAACAAACGTGCATGACCGTCCATTTGAGTCTTATAAGATTCACTCAATCCATACGTCTCAAAGTCCCGAGGTACGATGAGCACGACCTGGACCACGTCTTCCCGGAAAGCAATATGGCGTAGCCGGTCACGGACAGTCATCACTGCTCGGGCGTTCCTTTCGATGATGTCCATCGCAGCCTTCCGCTTTGCCTCGGAGTCAGTGGCCCAGCCCGCTAGGGCGGCGGGGTTGTCGATGTAACCGTTGCGACCGACAACATCATTTCCAGACCAGGAGATCACGATGACGTACGGCCGCGGCTCAGGCCTTTCGGCGAGCTTTAGCATTGCCCGCTCAGCGGCATCAAGAGATTCCGCCAGTCCTTTGCCCCATGTCATTTCGGACAAACCTCGTGCTTGTGCCCAAATAGCGTCCGCTTATTCTCCTTGATGATGGTGCCAACATCTGTCTTTGCTCCATCTTTGACCAATGCATTGAAGGAGTCGCCGAAAAACAGATAGTTGACCGCGGGTTTCCCCGGGCAGAAGAGGATATCGAAAGCCTCAGCCGGAGCCTCTTTGAGAATTCCCGCAGTACCTGTCAACGATGACATGGCATTCTTGGCGAGAGCCAGCGCATCGGTACGTTCACTCATCTTGGCAAGGTCGACACCGGAGTTCACGTCCTTGACGATGAATGATTGAGTTGCCGCATCACGGAACATGTCTGACCAAGCCTCTCGGTTGGCGACGCGCAGCTCGTCGGGGATGACCTCGGCCTTCACCTTCCCATCGTGCAGGATGTAGTCCGAGCCGTAGTCAACTCGAGCGAGCGGCACATCTTTGTAGTTCCTCTCAGAGAATGCCGAGCGTACCGTCTTCAAGGCCTTCTCCACTGGCAGTGCTTCAGCCATGGTCGCAACAAGTATCCGTGTTTGGACAACCTTTTCTTGAACCGACACTGCATAAGCAAAAGCCTTGTGAATCAAGTCAGTCATGACGTAAGTGTAGGATTCAGTATTTTTGAGATTCCGTCCCCTACCTTCGGCATGTTGGACAGTGCAAGAACACACTCTTCCATCAAGGTAATTGTGGAGGCAATGCATGTTGGTCTTCACGGTCCATGGTTTCTTCATTGGAATCCCATC